AAGCAGCCCTTGAAAAAGTTAGGGTCAGATGTCAACTATAAGGGTTAGTCTAGTGGTCGGCTTGGCAAAATGAGAAAACATGCCTCTTTCTGCAAAGCTCTAAATATTACAGTGATAATGACTATTGCGACTACCTTGGGTTAGCTAGCTAGTTAATTTTTTAATTTTTCTGGATTTTAATAGACGTAGGGCTCTTGCCGCCAAAGCGGTCAATAATTCTTCTTAATGAATTGAGCTCTAAGTAGCAATTCTACTTGCTTCTACAGCTACCTATAGCGAGTATATATCTTGTTTTCCTATTTATCCTATCGTCATCCTGCTAATCGCAATGAGGAAGCTTTTCAGGGAGAAAAGATGAAGTTATTGTGGGGCTCGAACGCAGTGAAACTGTTATGAGATATTAATAAATGTGATTTTGTTATGATTGCAAAACTTTTTTACGCACTTGTTAAACTCTGATGAAACTTACTCCCTTCTGCCGGCATCAACTCAGTGGTTATCATACACCAGCGACGTTCTGGGAATTGATCAGTCAATGTGATCCTTGCAAATAAACTTGAAAGACATACAATCATGGCTCTTTTCTATAGTTTGGCACCACTACCACTTTACGATCATGAACAAGCATCAGCCAAGCCAAAGCGCTTAGCTTAGGAAACATTATATACTAGATAAGGTTAGCCGGAAGCAGTACGCATAGTGATTAGTATAGATACATATTCCCTTAACATATCCTAGTGTTCGAATTATGGCATCATGATTAGTAGATTCAGCGGGAGGTGAAATTTCCATCCTAAATATCGCAAAATGACTCCTGAATTTTATGAAGTCTTGTTTCAATTGCTCTTCATTCAATAATTTTATTTGCCCCTAATCGCACCCTATTACGATGGGCAGTGCGAGGTCGACGACATCTAGAATACGACCCCCATCCTTTTCTAGAATGAAGAGAAGATAGCATTGAAGCAAGCTTAGACCCCGCAAGACAAGTAAGAAGTTTAATAAGCTGCGAGGAAGAGGAGAAGAAAGCAAAGCATGTACCTCGTTCATGCACGCGGTGATTTCCCTTAGTCCTGTCAGCCGGTGAAACACCTGGCCAGTTTCGCTTGAGATCCTCGAGCACTGGCGCAAGACCACCCCATCTTGGGAAGTGTACCTCCGCCAGATATGCCAAATGCCTCAACCGTGGGCGTGCAAGGTCCTTCATTCTTGAGGTAGACCCTCACTTAGGCTCGATTAGTTCCGTCATTTACGAACAATAATTTAGTCACTTTTCTTTCCATCAGCCTTCAGCCTTTCGAAATTTTTCCACAAAGTGTATATCTGTATTGTTTATCATTCTTTTCTCAGCCGTTGTTCCTAACAAAAGTATTTCGTTTTCTCTATGAATATTACTCGGTTAGAATTCTTTACAACCTTCTTCCATTATGTTGGTTTAGACTGCTGGGTTGTGGAATGAATGGTTTGTTCAACGAGCGAACAATCAAATAGAAAGAAGTGTAATCAGCGAAGACCAATAATATGTAAATTTTATATTTATTCTGAACAAAGGCGTGATCAGAATAAATATGAATAGTCATGGATTTCATTCGGCGGTTTAAATCCTAGAAGAGCGATATTAAGGACGTATGGTAGGTGATGTGGCTAGAGTTAGCGTGTCAAGAATCTAACAGCAAGTTAAATGTCTTTCACCGTGCTTTAAAAGCGTTAATGCGTCTAATGATATATTTTTAACTCTTGCCCATGTTTTGTGTAACATACAATTCATCAACTATAGATAAATCACTGTCAAGATATATTCGAGCCTCAATAATTTGCTGAGTTTGCTAATCAATTTTTTTACGCATCCATTCTGATTGTAATTTTGGAC